GAAAAAAACTCACTATGTTTCCTGGTGAAAGATTAAAGAGGTATTTGGGTCTAATGTAATAAGAAATGCTTATATTACTAACTAGGAATCCAAGACACTGAGACAGGCAAGATTTCTTATGAAAGCTACGTAGTAAGGGAATATGGAGATTACATAATGATGCACTTAAGTAGAGTAAACAATTGTTGAGAAACTTCCATTCTGCAAGTAGAGAATTGTAAGTTGATCTCATGAGAATAAAGAAGTGTATAATGGTGTGCTAACTTTTCTGGGATGTTCATACAGAATCCTTCCTTGAAGCATCCTCCTGCAAATTCAGTGAAAGCATACTGAGCTTGTATTGTAGTGAGTAGGTTAAGGACTACAAGTATATCTTGAATCAAAGCTTTATTGATTCCAGATTATATAAGGTGAGGAATGATTGATAACTGAGTTATTCGACGAAGATACAAGTAGGCCTCACGGCACAATTAACTGGAGCCGTGACGCCTAGACAAGTTTTTTATGAGTATACTTCATTTAAATGCCACAAATCCTACAAAATATTATCTAAAAAGATAGGAATATACATATATATATATTAAAGGTACCTATCCACTGGCTGATAAAAGGAAATACATCAAGAATCCTAAAAGCCAAGTAACTTACAGATCTGCTTGAATGACATATAAACGGATAACCATAATTCTCACGCATCATGACTTGGAAAAACGTGTGTTTGTAAAAAAGCTGATTGGCAGAGCCTAAAATGACACTTATCAAGTGATTCAGAAGAAAATAACCAATGGGATTTAGATTAAACGTGTGAAAATAAGAATACTTAATAGTCTTACTGATGGCCCAATGGAGGAAGGCTTCCGTATCAATGGACTTCGGATCAAGTACTGGCAATTTGGAAAGCAGGGGCACTTGAAATAGCGCTCCACTGGATCCGCCAGCTCCAGCCGAAGAGATACCATTACGTTCGGAAGCTAGAGAAGCCCCACCTGACCGTGCCTGTGAACTGCGCGTCCGAGCGGCGATTCCAGTGGTAGGAGTTGTGGTGATCACCGAGGTTGTAGCAGCAGCAGAAGTCAGAGAAGCTGACGTCAAAGATGCGCCCGTGGCGTGGCTGAGCATGGAATAAGTCGAAGGAATGTTTGCAGATGAACCTGCTGGAAGGCAAGTTCGTCCAACGGATGAAACAGTCTGCTGCTGGTGATTGGCTTGAATATGATGCTGATGGTGTGGTTGCTGTGTATGATGCTGGTGATGCGGATGAGATTGGTGAGCGGCCTGATGACGATGGGCAGATGAAGTCGACGAAGTGTTTCGCTGAGAGGCGAATGCTGCTCCAGCTGCAACTACTGTTGCTGCGGTAAGTTTGGGTATACCAGAGCTGCAGCCTAGGAGGATCGGAGTTGAAGGTTGACAGACCACATTTCCAGAGCCGGCTAGGTTAGAGCAGATATGGTAAAAATATACACAGGCAATGAGGGTCTAACAATTTTGAGCGGAAATTTAGCCTGAGTTTACAATCATATATAGGATATCGTTTGTGATATATGAGTTATTAGTTTCACATTAAACCATCTGTGCTTGCATTCGGTACAGAGGATATATACAAACTTTGTTCTTGCCTAATAAAATAGGAGCGAAGACTTGCGCTTTAAATCCATGTCTAATTACTTCTAGAGACATGAACAACGCTATCTCAGTAGGATGGGGCCTGAACTTGCTTCCGCAACTTAGTTATGTTGTCAGGGCGATTTAGTTGTACATACCTTGTCCTAAGTCCCCTATTATAATAGCAGCGTTGGACCGTCAACTTGGCAAATTCAGACGCACCAGGCCTCAAATCGTAAGAGATAAATAAAATTAATCCCTTGACCAACTATCTGCCGAAAGAGTTGTGCTATCATTCGTTCCATCTATCCTAACTTCTGACTTGTTTATCTTTCACTCCTCGAGAAATTAACCTTTTTTTGACGAGTTTAGTGGCGTCACTACACCTGCTTAACTTGCCTTGCTTGGTGTTAAGAATGGCAAGACTCACTGACGATGCCGGCGAAATATCTGAGAATGTATCAAGTCCACGGTCCGAAGGTTAGAAATATGATAACTACTATAGTAGAGGACTTCGAACAAGATGTGTCCAATAAAGCCCTCTTGACAACATGATCAAGTTGCGAAAGCGAGATCGGACCACATCTATGCATCAAAAAGAGACCGCAACCAAAATAGAGTCCATAACATTTTGGTCTTCATATCTAGTGGGTTAGTGACACCATGGTCAGGCGAATCTTTGGAGCCTGGTTTAAAGGTTATAAACTCAGGGGGAAATGGTGATGTATATAAAAGAATGGAATAATGTGATTTTAATTTATTGTGGTTATTATTAGGATCTTAGGTATAGCTTTTATTTTGTCTCAACTCGGATTAGAACGATACTTAATATAAGAAGTTTGCATCAATAGCGTCATAGATAAAGATGACCTGAAGAACACTAAACTTGAGTCAATTGAACAAACCTCCATATCTAAACGTAAGTTATATAATAATCGAATATGATAACCTTTAAGGATATCCAAAGAGACACCTCAATGAAAGTGCTACTTAAAAGCATCTCTGATAAAGATAAAGATTTTAATAAACTAGAAATAACTTGAGGGTGGAAAGATTTTTATGGTTAAGCAAGATTTTTGGCGCTAAAATTGCATTCTGAATTACAAAGGAGATCACGTAAGAGTAATGTACATTTTCTCGGTTCTGTAGCTTGCACTAGTGGCATTGCAAACCAAAAAGCAATCCCCCAGGCTCGAATTTACTCTTACTGAATATAATTAAAGGACGAAAAAAAGAAAATATCCAGTAATATTAAGCCTCAACAAGGCAATAAGTTCATATAATTTGATCAATAATCTCATTGGAATATTGCATATAGAAGTAAAATTCAATTAATTTTAGAAATCTAATCACTAATTCGTGAACACAAATTAGTAAACGATCAATTTGTATGTACTCGGTAGCAAATATAAATACAAAAATGGTTGTCAGGAAGACAGGATCGAAGAGAAACACGAAAAGGTGAAATGAAAAAAGATAGTCTCATAATATTTTCATAAAAACTTATGGGAGATTTAAGAAAAAGGTTTTTAGGGCCTCCGTGCAGAGGGGGGTCAACGAAATCGATACTACAGTCATTGTCACAGTAAGAATGGACAAAAAGCAACAAAGAGCTTTAAAACTATAGGTAGTATTTGAAACAAGTCTCAAATTAAATGGAATCAATCGAGGATATAATCTTAGAGTAGCTACTCTAAATAAAAATGGTTCATCTGGAATTAGTTTATCAACAAAATATACTTAATGAAAGCCTAAACCAAAATGTTGTGTAAAAAAGCATACAAAATAAGTTGAATTAAAATGACAACATAAACATAAATAAGATGGACAAGGACAAAAGAAATACATCAAAATAGAACATCTAAGTTAAGAGTTTCAAACAAGCAAAAAAAGCAAATTCTCGAGGCTTGATAAAATTAACGTTAACAAAATACTTATAAACCTGGAATCTAGATAAAATGCTATGATTACGACCCTATTTCGCATAATGTGGCGCAGACACAAATAAGCATAATGAAACCCAAACGAGTGTAGATTTAAACATACCAAATTGAGATGCAGTGGTTACTGGAGCATCTATCTGTCCAAGATAGTGAAGAAAAACATTTTTGGAGGTTGTATTTACAGCAGGACTCTGCTTTCCTATGCTCGTACTAGCAACCGAACTAGGGGCATTCGAGGCACTGAGAGCGGTCGAAGCTTGATTTGAAAGCTGAACAGTGTATACGTTGCGGAGAATGCTATCAATGAGTTGGTGAAACTGCGGTGGCTGTCCAGAGTGGGCCAAAAGCTGGGCCTGTATAGCTTGCTGCAGTTGCGCTGGAGATGAAGAATGATGTAAAATACGATCAAGAAGAGATGATTGAGCATCGACAGCTGATACTGACTGAGCAGGCTGATGAGCGATAGACTGTGATTGTGAAACGCGATTGTAACAATCCATATTTCCAGTCAGTTGCGACGATGAAGTAGAGTTTTGGAGAACATTTGAAGGGCAACCTTGAACTTGTGAGGAAGCCGCTAAGTTATGCTGACTATGTGCGGGTGCTGAAAAGCGAACAGGGTAAGCACCACCATACGACCCAACTGATGATACGGAAGAAATTGTAGGTTGTCTTGAAATACTTGTTGATGAAGACGTGTTAGATAATTGAGGAGTCTCTCCAACAGCAGCCGATTGGTAAAGCACACGGGACTTGGACATAGATGTTACTGGTTGATGAGACGAACTAGAAGTCGCTGTATACATACTGGTAGGAGTAATAGTCGCATTTGTTGGAGGAAGAAGCTGCGTGGGAGCAATCATTTGAGTCGGAGATGCGTTTTGAGAAAATCCGCCAAGGCCAGCAGCAGAAAACAGAGCAGCG